AAAAAATTTTTTTTTTTTTTTTTTTTTTTTTTTTAAATTATGATTGTGTGAAAATTCAGCGTACAGTAATTCTTATTAACTTTTTCTGCACGATTTTAGTAAGAACAGATGTATAGATGAATGGACGGATGTTTATCCCTTACATGTTTGACAATGAAAACACTGAAAACACAGATTAAATTCAAAAATTTAATGTTTGAAACATCAAACTAGACAAGTTATACATGTAAACAACACTTAACACTTTGTAAATATATAATTACCAAACATCAACAAAAATACTTATCACAGTAATAGATATTTGGATGAATTTTACAATATTGAGGATTTCTCTCGTCTTATAGACAGAATGATTTGTCCTCAGCTGTGGGATTAAACGATAGAACTGCAGGGCTGTTGAAACAAAAAATATCCAATTATTATGACTATAATAAAATTGATTCATGCACAAAGTTTGAAATTTGTGCAATAGATAAAATTGGAGATACACCTCTCTGAAGTTCATAATTATATATTTCAAATTATCTTGGCAGTTCAAATTGTTGTGAATGTGCATTTATCTAACAAAAAGACTAGTCAGCATGTCACCGTATAACAGTAACAGTACTTTATAATGTGTACCAATGTGACTGATGTAAGAATGGTCTCCCCTTAAATTAGCGTCTCCACGTGACATAACAGTAAATGGGAGTGATGCAAAGATCCAATTTTTTGATAGATTGATATTTTCACATTAAATAGTGTCAACAGATAAGAAGAAATTCAAGAATATCATGATTTTTTTTTAAACTTTCTACACATGATTTTTCTTAATGATGCATAATAGCGGTGCTAATGTTCATTTAAAAAAATTGAGATACACTGTATGTGTATCTGTTATACATCGTCTAAGTGCAGGGTGTATCAACATATTATTGATCATGTCTGCCTTCAACCTTACTGAAGTAAACCTATTCCTGTAAAGTACAAAAAGGCAATTGTCAAAATATGACTTCACACAATCTTTTAATAGAAACTGGAAGGCATAGAAACATTCCTCATAATTTTAGACATTGTCCTTTCTGAAAAAATGATACAGAAGACGAATTCCACTTCATTCTAAAATGCCCCTCCTTCAGCGAACTACGAAGTAAATATATTAAATTATATTATCGTGTTAATCCCCCTGTCTTTAAATTAATCAAATTATTATCAACCAGTAATATCAAAGAATTAACTAACTCTGTTGGTTTCTAACTAGTTTGATTTGCAAGCTCTTAGATCATAAACAAGAGGCCCAAGGGCCTTAGCGGTCACCTGAGTTATATCATAGGTACTGGTAGCTTTATTTTATTGTTTAGATGTGATGTGGAAATCAGCATGTAAACTAAGTGAAATACAATACTTGTCATGTCATCAATGGATAAGAATTTGAAAATATTGGTAAATGTTCCCTTTGGGGCCCCGCCCTAGCCCCTGGGGATGGGGCAGGAATCCCAATTTTACAAAGTAATACTCTCATTCACCCAAGATGATTCTGACTAAGTTTGAGTAATTTTCTGCTGAAAATGGATAAAATATATACCGAAAAGTGTTATTTCCCTATATAAACTATATTAAACTTTACCCCCTCCCCAAGGGAGAACGGATAGCTCGGGGGTCCTGAAATTTACAATTTAAATAAAGCCCCTGATGATCTTTCTTTCCACGTAGAGAAAATCACTGTAGTACCTCTGAGTCTGGAGAAGAAGATTTTTGAAATATTGATTAATTTTCCCTTTGGGGCCCCGCCCTGGCCCCAGGGGTCGGGGTAGGAATCTCAATTTTACAATTTGAAACCATCTACCTCCAAGGATAATTCTCACCAAGTAAAAATAATTTCCTACAGAAAGTTGTCAAAATATACCCAAAAGTGTTATTTCCCTATATAAACTATAGTAAACTTTACCCCCTCCCCAAGGGAGAACGGATAGCTCGGGGGTCCTGAAATTTACAATTTAAGTAAAGCCCCTGATGATCTTTCTTTCCACGCAGAGAAAACGAGCGTAGTACCTCTGAGTCTGAAGAAGAAGATTTTTGAAATATTGGTTAATTTTCCCTTTGGGGCCCCGCCTTGGCCCCAGGGGTTGGGGTAGGAATCCCAATTTTACAATTTTGAAGCCTCATCTACAAAGGATGATTCTGACCAAGTTTGAAAAAAATCCATCCACTGGTTCTTGAGAAGAAGTTGAAAATGTAAAAGTTTACGCACGACGGACGACGACGGACGAAAAGCGATTAGAATAGGTCACTTGAGCAAAGCTCAGGTGACCTAAAAACACATGTATTTAAATTATAAATTTCATATGCTGATTGTATCTTACAGCCTGTGCTGATTTTGAATGCACATTATGAAATTTTCCTTTGAATCGATAAGATGTATATGCTCAAGATGAAATAAAAAATTTGAATTTGAATATATTTGAAGTATATTTGTGTTAACAAATACCAAGATAACTCGATTCACAGTGTAATTAAGGACTAACCTGAGTATTATCAACACATGTATTGTTGTTTATGTTTCCAATGTGTCTCTGATTAATTAACAAAGTCAAACCCACTGTTCCTAACAGATATTTGACAGAAATCATTTTGATTGGTGATTCTTATCATGACTAAAGGTAGGATATACCCTTAAATAGCTGCAATAATTTGTTCAAATCTTAAATAATTATAAAAAAAATCAGTTACAACAAGCCTTCCCTATTACATATTTACTTGATTAAGTATTTTACACATTGTTGAGTTTCTAGTTTTGCGTTTGTAGGATATGTAGTGTTTCTTCACAAGCAATTAGTTGTTCTTATGGCTAACTCACAAATTCTTCATAACAAGAACATTGCAAATTACAGCAACACCAGGAACATTATCCTGTAAATGTATACAGTGTTTGAAAGTAGGACTAGAAATCTTACAGCAACACCAGGAACATTATCCTGTACATGTATACAGTGTTTTAAAGTAGGACTAAAAATCTTACAGCAACACAAGGAACATTATCCTGTACATGTATACAGTGTTTGAAAGCAGGACTAGAAATCTAACAGCAACACCAGGAACATTATCCTGTAAATGTATACAGTGTTTGAAAGTAGGACTAGAAATCTTACAGCAACACCTGAAACATTATCCTGTACATGTATACAGTATTTGAAAGTAGGACTAGAAATCTTACAGCAACACCAGGAACATTATCCTGTAAATGTATACAGTGTTTGAAAGTAGGACTAGAAACCTTACAGCAACCCCAGGAACATTATCCTGTACATGTATACAGTGTTTTAAAGTAGGACTAAAAATCTTACAGCAACACAAGGAACATTATCCTGTACATGTATACAGTGTTTTAAAGTAGGACTAAAAATCTTACAGCAACACAATGAACATTATCCTGTACATGTATACAGTGTTTGAAAGTAGGACTAAAAATCTTACAGCAACACCTGGAACACTATCCTGTAAATGTATACAGTGTTGAAAGTAGGCCTAGAAATCTTACAGCAACACCTGGAACATTATCCTGTAAATGTATGCAGTGTTGAAAGTAGGACTAGAAATCTTACAGCAACACCTGAAACATTATCCTGTACATGTATACAGTATTTGAAAGTAGGACTAGAAATCTTACAGCAACACCTGGAAAATTATCCTGTAAATGTATACAGTGTTGAAAGTAGGACTAAAAATCTTACAGCAACACCTGGAACATTATCCTGTAAATGTATGCAGTGTTGAAAGTAGGACTAGAAATCTTACAGCAACACCAGGAACATTGTCCTGTACATGTATACAGTGTTTGAAAGTAGGACTAGAAATCTTACAGCAACACCAGTCATTTAAGTACCTATAGCAAATCTCATTCATCAACACACGAAAACAGCTCGGTTTAAATTATTTCCAGACTTGATTACTGCATGGTGCCCTCTGTGATAGGTCACATTTATTCAACATGATTATGGCATTTTTTTATATTTACTTGTACAAAAATTGTACAACACAATATTTTTGAGCATATAAAATATTTTCTCTCACTATTCACAGAACTGTCTCCCATTTTATCTGGAACAGGATTTCTCTGTCAACCCCTAGGCAGGTAGAAGAGACGTCATAACACAATAGCTTTACACAGGAGTGAAAAATGATTAAAATAAAACCTCATAATCCTTGTTTTGGAAGATTCATCCCCTGCTGTGAGATCTGCCAGAGAAAGTCAACCTGCTTCATTGAGGCATTTAAGTCTCAAGATATTAGAAAATGAAGAATATACACCCTTTGGTAAAAAATTCTCTGTTATATAAGTGAAGTAAGGGAAGATTCTATTAATTCTGAGATAATTCAACTTTTTAGTATAATTTTAAGTTATAATCGTGATCATAATTGTTTTGACTTGGAGTATTCTGCCTTCTGTATATAGAACATGAGGGAATCAAAAGGACTTTTTCTGACTAATATTCATAGGCTTTACGGCACATAAATTGGACCCTCATTTTGAAGTTGTGCATTTATAATCCCTGGATGGCTATGTCGGATTTTTTTTTTACCCCTGCAATTTTTCTGTTTTCAGTTTTTATTTCTATTTTCAAACGTTCAAATTTTGCAATAGTGACTACGGTAATGATATGGTTGGTTCCCTAAACCTTAAACATGATGATAATAAATTGTAAATGTCCTAAAAGGCAACCCCCGCAGTACATCACCATCGTCTAGTGTACTGGAAAGATTTCAGAGACTTCCTTCCTTGTGTAGCAGACTGGACAATGTATTTTGTAAATAAATAAATAAAAAGGCGTTTTAGACCAAAAAGATGATTCATGAAAAAAGAATATGAACGTATGTTAATAATAATTTAATTCTATAAAATTTAAGAAAATACTTTGGATAGGAAACTTCAAATTATTACAGCATTTTCCTTGTTAAGATCAGATCCCTAAAAAGCGTACTTAGAATTGAGTCTAGCCTTCTGCTGGGGCTCTGTTTTTGAACATATAGAGTATTAGCTATCACAGAAATATGGAAAATTTTACACAATGTTCACGAAACCTTCAGTCACAAATTTAAAAAAATGTAAATATGATGAATTTAAAATCAGGAGTCCTAAAATCCCATGCGTTAATGAAGAACAGTGGAGTGACTGTCATTATCTCCGATTGTGAAGATTGCATTGTCTTTGCCATTTGCTTCCCCGTCCCCTGTGGACATCCCATTTATAGAAGCCGATCCGGCCATCAGCTGACGTAGGACGAGACGTTTGTACACGCCGTCTTTAGCGATTAGTTCATCGTGAGTGCCGCTCTCTGCCATTACGCCCTTGTCAATCACAATCACCTAAAAATATATACAATCATTTCAAACCCATTAGTTCTTTAAAAGCACTACCAGGGACCTCCCTAACCTCTCCATGTTACCTTTCCAACCTCTAACATTGACCTTCCTGACCCCTAACTGCAACCTTTCTAACCTCTTACATTGACCTACCTAACCTCTCCCTGTTACCTTTCCAACCTCTAACATTGACCTTCCTGACCCCTAACTGCGACCTTTCTAACCTCTTACATTGACCTCCCTGACCTCTTCCTGTTACCTTTCCAACCTCTAACATTTACCTTCCTGACCCTTAACTGTGACCTTTCAGATTTTTTAACTGTGGCTTCCCTAGCCCATCACAGGCCTCCTTGTTCTGTAACCTCCCTGATCTCTAACCATGAACTCCCTGATCTCTAAATTTGACCTTTCTGACCTCAGTGAGCAGCTTGACCTCTACCTAAGATCTTCTCAACCTCTTCTGCTACCTCTTTGACCTCTAACTTGAACTCCCTGACCTTTAACTCTGACCTCCCTGACTTCTAACCATGACATTTCTGATTTCTAGCTTTGACCTTTCTGACTTCTGTGAGCTCCCTGACCTTTACATGTGACCTTCCTGACCTGTAATTGTGACCTCTAACTGTGATCTCCTCGACCTTTAACTGGGGATGGGGTGCCTGGGAATTTACCTTTGAAGCGTTCCTGACTGTAGATAATCTATGTGCGATCACGATGACGGTTCGTCCCTTCATGGCTCTTTCCACCGCCTCCTGGACAAGGTGCTCACTTTCAGCATCTAATGCACTGGTCGCCTGGTGGAAACAAAACAAACTTTTCAGGTCTATTACATACATGTAAACCAATTGAAAAGGAAAATCACAAATCTAACATGACATCATCATTTCAGAAATACAACAAAAAATGTATCAAATCTGAATGCCACATGTTTCCAAGATGATTCAGCGTTGACTGTAAGCACGTAAGTATTGAACGCCATTTTTTCAATTTAATACTGACATGAACATTGAAAAAATGCTGTTCCATCCTTATATTTACATTCTAAATTTTTACTTATCATGACCTAAATACAGATATTCCCTTATATTTCCAATGCTGAAGTGTTTATGTGACGTCAGTGCAAACAAGATTTCTGAAACAGCCTAACGTCATCAAAATGTTTGCTTCTAATGGTTGTCTGATGTTATTGGAGGTGGAAGGAGAAGCTTTGAAATGAAGCTGATCCAAACGCCTTCATTGAGTGCAATTTTTTATAATAATGGTCATAGAGGGACCTTACAGTGGAAATGTAAATATATCGGGACGAGGATTACGTGTTGACTAAACACAATGTGAAGAAAACAAACCTCGTCCAGTAGTAGAAGCACTGGGTCCATTATCAGAGCGCGGGCGATGGCTATACGCTGCTTCTGACCCCCTGAAAGACGAATCCCCCGCTCACCGACAAGTGTCTCGTAGCCTTTCTCAAACTCGCTGATAAACTCGTGAGCATTGGCTTGTTTTGCTGCCTCCTGAATCTGTAGTAATTAAACTTTGTTGGTCATGTGATTATATGCAGTCCCATTAACCCTTTCACCACTGTAGATCACACAATGGACTCATCCATATCAATGCATGGTAGAGTCTACTCAAGTTATATAGGGGTGAAAGGGTTAAAGATATACAAACATTTGTTTTTCAATTCTTGATGAAATAAAGTAGATTTCACCCATTGCTCAATTCTGAAATTGTGTGACAGAACTCATATCAAGTTTAAATTGAACACTAAATGTACAAAGTTTGGTTTTTTGACATTCAGTAACCATAATTTTAATTTTGCTTCCAGAACATCTTTTCCAATTCTGCATTATACAAAGCCTGTTTTCGAGTTTAGAAATTAGACTTGGCCATTGAATTGCTTAGAAGTATTCAACTGTTGCTATGTAGACATTTTATATTATAAGCTAATAGCCAGTAACAATTATATCAGGCACCTCCAAAACAGTGTAACAGAAAAGACTTTGATGGGGGACTGCATACAAATTTCCATCTTCGATAATTATTATTTTAAACTAGAAAATGTCTGTAAGACATAAATGCCCCCGCTGCCATGTGAAATTAGTTTCAGTGTTCTATAAAAAGTTACAACTACTTTGATCTTATTACCCTGAAACATGCACACACACAAGGTACTACACTTAAAGTTGATTTCATTATTCATGTGTTTTTTCTGTATGTTATTACCATCTCCATAACATATTGAATGAAGTTGCTAAGTGTTTAAATAGAATCAGTAGATGATTTTCTATATATAGCAAGTGTGACCTTGGCCTTGACCTTGGAACCCTGAAACACAACAATGTCCGAAGTATACTCATACTTGACCTTTGCATAAACTTTGACCAAAATCCATGAAGGAATGAAGTTGCTAAGTGTTTACATTGAATCGGGACGGGACGGGACGATTTTCTATATATAGCAAGTGTGACCTTGGCCTTGACCTTGGATCCCTGAAATACAACTATGTCCGAAGTATACTCATAATTGACGGGACGGGACGGACATGGGTAACACTATATGTCCCACCATTTTATGGCGGGGGCATAAAAAACCATTAATAACAACCGACACATTTTATTATACACAGGACTGACTGACCTCTGTGTCTGTTGCGGTCTTGCCGTAGGCGATGTTTTCCTTGATGCTACAGGCAAACAGCGTGGGTTCCTGACTAACCATCGATATCTTCTGACGGAACCAGCGCGGCTCCAGCTCGCGTAGATTGTTCCCACCTGTCTCAAGTAAAGTGTACTCAGGGTTAGAACCACTTCAAAAATCACCAATGCACGATAATTTCATATATTGAAAAAAAGAACAAATCTTTGATATAAATATCATTGAAAATGATTGAAAATCGCTTGAAAATTGCAAACACATATTGTCAAACTTTGATCTTACGAACTTTGGGGGACATTAGAAAAATTAGAAACATCAACACCTCGACTAACAAATGCTGAACTTTGAACATCTTTGAGATACATGTACTGTATATACTGCATAATACCAACTGTAATTGTTAAGTGACATAACACAAGGCAAAACAATTAATTTGAAATCTATAAATGAGGGATTTAAAGAAATAAGAAAAATATGTTTCATGTATCTGTATACTGTAGTTTGCATGTTTAGGTGTTTAAATTACCACCGGACATGTTCTCGTAAAGGTACCGTAATAGTTTAACTTCGATTCAGTACTTGCAATTTTCGTTTTTTTTTTAATACAGTGAGAACTTTGCCTCATCAAAGTTAAATTCATCAATGGAATATCAGTAGTGTCGTATAAGGAAACAAATTCTGGACTTCACTGTAGGTTTGACACAGTGAGAATTTAAGTCTTCAAAGTTTGATTTATAGACGTTTGACTGTACATACAATTTTTTTTTAACAGAAAATAAAGAAAACTGATGAAAATTGTCAATCGATCCTGAAGACTAGATTATTTTGAGGAATGATGTAAAAATATGAAGCAGTATTTATTAAGGGTATATAGTATTTGCTTGTATATATACTCTGCTCAGCCATAGGGTTTTAATTTCCAGGCCTCTTGTTTATAAAGCAGAGAGCTTCACCACACTACCAGACCGTAGGCCCGGGACCTGATACTGATATTGTTAACATTTTCTACAACATTACAAGGGACAATTTAAAACTGTTTTAATTCCTTAAAAAAGCCCACAAAGTTTATTGTTGTAGATGAAATCGAATAAAGATCAACAGGAAAATAATTTTCTGAATCCGGTATATAGTAAAGTGCATGATGGGACATTCTACTCGACTATATACTCAGTTTTCATGCTTACATATAGTAGTCTGAAATATTTGTCCTTTAGTGTTCAGATCAACCAAAAGATTTATTATCACAATGAAAAATGAGGGCATTTAGATTCTTTTGACTTTTCCAAACACCAAGGGAGGGAATATTTAAGACCATTAAAACTAGCCTGAAACAATATACAGACCTTGTAGAAAATGCGAAATTCATAAAATGTTCAGAAATGAAACCTGAAGTTCAAGTGTTCAACAAACCTAGGGATACTATTCCGGAGTCAGGATCATAGAATCTTTCAATTAGATTGACGATTGTTGATTTTCCACCACCAGAGGGCCCCACCAGAGCCAGCACTTTACCCGGCTCCAGGATAAAAGATATCCCCTGTAAATAAGGTGGAACACATTTTACAGAGATGCATATACTCTCCAGTTTAATTTTCGCCTTTTCCGCCATCCATAATGAGGGCAAATTTATTATTACAGCAAAAAATTGGTAAACAATATAATATAAATAGTAATTAAAATTTAAAATTGGGCGAAATGGAATTAACTGTCATAGGGGGGGGGGGATTTGACTGGGCAAACATTTCCTGGTAAATAGCACCCAAACTCTGTTAAGATAAAAACTTGTGAGAATGTGATTTGTATAACAACTTATTCAGCATTCTCCTACAACAACAACAACAACTAACTGTAAATCAGCTCTTTTGTCTTGAAATGTTTTAGCAATTTTTTTTTTTTACTCAATGCTGCTTAATTATTTGTAGTTCACCTAATCTGCATAATATTCAATTTACCACGATTACTGGTCTTACACGGTTTAATGGTTATGAAACAAATCCAACGACCTAACCTGTGTGTTAAGAGCCTTTCGGAGGTCACTGACATGTCACATTACAATAGTGGTTGCTGTATTATCTTGCGAAGTCAGAAAATTATAAAGATAGACATGTTTATATATTGGATAATTCTTTCAAAAATTAAAATTTCTGTCATATTCATCATTCAATAAACATTTGAAAGCAGGTGCAGGTTTAATAAAATGATTACATATTTATTTTGTGACTGATTTTTAATTATTTTTCAGGAAATAAATGTTTCATACACAGATAGTCCAACAATGTTTAATATATCAGTCAAATGTTCAACAGAACTGCCTTTTATTTTCAAGAAATGATGAAATCAATATATTTTCATGTTTGGAATTTATTGTATAATATTGATTCAAATTTCGATAAATTAAAATGTACTAGTTTAGGAAGAACAGCTGCATTTGAAGAAAATCATTATTTCTTTTTTTTTCTCTCCAAACAAGGTACATTGTATATTAAAATTTGAAAGTAAAACAAATTTCTTCACCACATGCTTCATCTGCTAGATAAGGGGTAGAAATAAATTTATCAAACTTTTAAATATCATCTTTATTTTTCAAAAAAAATTGCCAAAAATGAAGGAAACCGAAACTTGAAAATACGAAAATGATGTTACACCACTTGAACAATTCTTTGCCAATTTATCACACAATTACTTTGCTTTTCCCTCTGATGGGGTTTGGGTAGTTGATAACTACAGTTTTAATTTGTTAAGTGAGATAATAAACACTAATGTCATCTGAACCGAGTGGCCACTGACCTTGAGAACCTCCGTTTCTGGTCTAGAAGGATATGTGAACTTCACATTGTCAAACTCCACCCCTGCAAGTCAGAAATTAAAATTCGTAAATACTTATTAAACTTCGAAGTCAGAAATTAAAATTCGTAAATATTTATTAAACTTTGAAGTAAGAAATTACAATTTCTAAATATTTACTAAACTTTGATGTGAGAAATTACCTTCAGTAAATATCTATTAAACTGTGAAGTCGTTGAATTGAATGAATATCTGAATTTATCACTGCAGATGTATACCTGTTTATGCTAATTCAGTTCATAATGACAGATCATAGCCACTAAACATAGTTAAAGCTTCATTCCCCCATATATGTGGCTAAAAGATGCCCCCCCCCCCTTCAAGTTGACTGGGTTTTAAATTCACACCTACAAGTACCCAGGATTTGAACCCAGGCTAACCCTCACACTGCTGGGTGGTCAGGTGCCTTTCACCAAGGCGGCCGGGGTTCGATTTTGGACGTGAAAAAGTATGGGGTCACCTGCCCGACCACATGGGTTTTCTCCGGGTACTCCAGTTTCCTCCCACACTAAGACCCCCCCTGCGCACTAACATCCGGGCCAACCAGAGTGATTAACATAAGTTGAAATAACTTGTTACATAACTGTTGTAAAATGAAATAAAGTTTATATATTTATACCTTTACACAGAGCTTCAAACCACCTGTAGCTGTGAAAGCTTACACAGACAACTCCGACAAAAACTTACGTCCGTCTATAGATCTAAGAACGATGCCATTTTCATTGGAGACTTTCGGTTGTCGATCAAGCAAGTCAAATATTCTGATGGATGCCCCAACAGCCTACAAGATAGAAACAAGTAACGGTATTGAACTACACTAGTGTTTATGGGACAAGAGCAACAGTAGCAATAGTAAGATTTCTTTTATACAAATTAGACTTCACTTATTTGCAAAGAAAGAGTGCACAGTAAATACTGCTATCACTAGCATTATGTTTTTGGCTGGATATTTCAATCAAGAGGTATAATATTTAGTGGCTATCATATGACTATTTTGATATCACACCCCTTATCAGCCTGAGATCTTGATTAGGGCCGCAGTCCTGAGGGCTGATATCAGGTCAAGGGCTGATAAAGGGTGTGATATCAAAACAGTCATATCATAACCTTTTTATTACACATTTTGAGAAACAAAACAAAAAGAAATTAATAAAAAGTTTCAACAACTTTAAAACAAAAAAATATCAACATTAGGGTAAACGTACATGAGCACATCTGTTTCTGTCCGTCATAGCTCTGCGTAATACAGGACCAAAAGTCAGATGCGGCGCTAGCTGATTCGACTAGCCCGATCAATGACCAAACTTTAGAATCAGTCACTATCTGAATTTATCATGCCACCTAGCTTTCTTGATTTTTGATGTGCAGATCTGTTGATGAAATTGAAAGTTATCTCCCCTGAAAGAGCCCCGATAAAGTGATATCAGCCCGGGCTAATTATCAACCCGTGTTGGTGTAAAAACTGTTTAGCAGCCCGGGTTGGTGTAAAAACTGTTTAGCAGCCCGGGTTGGTGTGAAAACTGTTTAGCAGCCCGGGTCGTGTGAAAACTGTTTAGCAGCCCAGGTTGGTGCACTGATATGACAACGCAAACACCATTTGTATCACATGGACAAACTGTATTATTATAGACAAGAGTGTGATAAATCCCACGTACATGTTCAGGTAGCCCGAGTTTCCTCTGGCCCTAACACCAGAGTTAGACATTTTGACAGACAGAAGTCACACCAGACATCTATCTGTCAAAATGTCTAAGTCTGTTGACAGGGCCAGAGGAAACTCGGGCTAATGTTCAGGTAAAGTGCCATACACAAGGTAAAAGTCATATCTAGTAATTTATTTTAATATCATACTTGTAACCAGCTTGAAAAATAGATCTTAAGCACATTTGTACAAGTGAAATATCATGATTATCTACATGAAGTTCCCTTTTTTAAACATTCATTTCTAAGAATTGTATTTAACTGTATGTATCACACTTACAACTGTCATATATAACTATCTTATTTACCTGTATGTATCACACTTACAACTGTCATATATAACTATCTTACTTACCTGTATGTATCACACTTACAAC